CTGATTTATGAACTAGAAATCTATATGTTTTACTATTGTACGCATATCCAATAAACACACAATCGACCGTCTTTGGCCCGATTCTCATTTGTTTGAGTTCCGGTACTGAAACCTTGGCCAAACACCCCCACACTTTCAGGTATTTATAAGACGGCTTACGATTTTTTCACATTTCGTAAGGAGTCTTATTTTTCCCTTTAGGTGGTATTTTATTCAGGATATGATTTGCTGTTAAAACAGCTTCCCCCCCACATGTTCTGGGGTAGTCCTGAATTTATCAACATGACATTCATCATTTTCTTTTTACATACGGTTCTTGCGTTCAGCAACACCATTTGATTGTGGACAATAAGGGGCAGTCGTTTGATGAATTATGCCAGATTCGGAACATATTTGTTCAAAAGAAGCTACATACTCCCCACCCCTATCACTTTGGATTATTTTAATCCTTTTGCTGAGTTGATTTTCAACTTCGGTTTTATAGATTTTAAATGCTTCCACAGCCTCGTCTTCGCTTCTTAATAAGTATAAATAGCAAAACCTTGTGCAATCATCGATAAAAGTAATAAAATACTTTTTACCCATTCTTGTTTGCACACTTTTCATATCACATACATCAGTATGGATTAAGCCTAATGGTTCAGTCCTCCTTTCCACCGAGTGAAAAGGCAACTTAGCCATTTTTGCTTCAATACAAATCTCATATTTCTTATGTGATTCAATTATAGAATTAGGAATTAATTCTAAATTCATCAACCGTTTAATTGCATTTAGATTTACATGTCCCAATCTAATATGCCATAAATCAGAGTACTCAACGGTATAAACAGAAATATGCTTTTCATTATCATTTAAAACGGTTACACGGCTCACGGCCATTACATTCATTTTGAACATACCCTTGTCGAGATAGCCACGACCAAGGAAAGTTCCAAACTTGCTAAGAACAAATTTCTTAGCATCAAATACCAACCTAAATCCATGCTCAACAACAAGAGATCCGGAGACCAAATTCTTGCGGATGTCTGGGACATGCAGAACATCCTTAAGCTTCAACTCCTTTCCAGAAGTCAGCTTCAGCACCACAGTGCTCACTCCAGCCACATCACTCGTGGCTGAGTTTGCCATGTAAATTTCCGACTCTTAGCAGGTGTGTATTCAAAGAACACCTCCTTATTGGAACACAGATGACGAGTGGCACCAGTATCGATGTACCACTCCCTTGGGTTATCCACCATATTGACTTCAAACACCACTACCGACATATCAAAGTCGGTCAGTTCACCTGGCACAGGGCCGTGTTCAGCCACAAGGGCACTAGATTGCCCTTTCTTTGGCCCCGCATTCTTTGGCCTCTTGCAGTCTTTTGCCATATGGTTTGGCTTTCCACAGTTGTAGCAGGTTCCAGTAAACTTCCAAACCTTGGCAGGTTGCTTCCCTTTGTCAAGGGACTTCCTCTTGCTCGAGTGGCCTTACTCCAGCAAGTTAGCACGAGCCTCTATCATCAGAGTCTTCGCCGATGAATTACGGTTGTCCTTCTCAATACGAAGACGAACAACCAGGTCTTCAAGACTCATCTCCTTCCTCTTATGTTTGAGGTAGTTTTTGATTTCTTTCCAACCCGGCGACAGCTTTTCAATCACAGCTGCAACTTGGAATGATTCGCTCAGAGACATTCCTTCAGCATGGATATCGTGCAAGATAAGTTGAAACTCTTGCACTTGGGACACAAAGGTCTTAGAGTCGACCATCTTGAAGTTAAGAAACTTGCCGACGACGAATTTCTTCGCCCGGCATCCTCAGTCTTGTACTTCTTCTCCAAAGCAGCCCAAAGCTCTTTGGCAGAACCAACCAAGCTGTACACATTGTACAACTCATTACTAAGTCCGTTCAGGACATAGTTACGACAAAGGTAATCACCTTGCCCCCAAGCTTCGTACGCAGTGCGTAGTTCAGCATTGGTCTCATTTTCAGCAAAAATGGGGGGTCGTCCTTCAGGTATTTCACCAAACCCAAAGTGGTATGGTAAAAATGCATCTTTTGTTGCCACCTCTTAAAATCAAGCCCGTTGAATTTTTCGGGCTTCTCAGCAGTAGGAACATGGACAACCGGTATCGGATGAACAGCAGGGTTGATCCGCTGCCGAGTGTAGGAACCATCTCCGGTGGATGCCATCAGTTCTGTAGGTTGAATCTATTCTTCTTGCAATTGTTAGATCCTGGGTATAAAATTACACGTGAATCCTACGAACTGATATGTATTTTCAGTTCTTACAAATAATCTAAAAATAGAAAATTACAAGTGAACTGAAAATTAAATTACACATGAAAAATAAATTAAAACTTAAAAAACGGATAGATTAAAGCTGAGGCGAGTAAAACTCTTTCCGAAAGAAGAATACGCCCCATGTGTTGCTAAAGGTTCAGGCGTAACTTCCCCAAAGATACAACAGCAAACGTCTCTAAATCTGTAGCACACCAGATTTACGAGCTCCGGCGAACTGGAACGAAGTCGAGAATTGAGCACTTAAAAATAGGAATAAAAATATCTCTCTTTTGTTATTTTGATAACAAATAAATATTTTTATATTTTTCTCTCTGATATTTTTATCCCTCCAAAAATTATTTTGGACTGAATACTTTTCAATCTCTCTTTATTTTCTTTCTCACTTTCTTCCTCTCTATTCTTTTCTTCTTCTGTGCTTTTCTCCTTCTGCCGAGTATGCCTATTTATAGGCAGAGAAGCCACGCACAAATTGACCAAATTACACTTATTAATATATATATATATATATATATATATGTTAATGCAAGAGGAAGTGGGGTGGTGGATCTTAAATCTGTAACTTTTTTATTTTTTTATTTTATATTTTTTTTAATTACAGCAAGTGGGGCGGCGCATCCGCCCCTACTTTACACTTTTCACACACACCATCTAAAAATAAACAATTTGAGGATTTCTCTCCATATGCATAACCTGACAAAAAAATAAAAATAAAAATACACTACTATCACATGCTTATATGTCACAACCACAGACTATTTTTTTTTTTCCAACGACATAAACTGCTCTAATAAAAACCACAGACTATTGAAAAAACCATAAATACCTCATCTTTCGTATATGTGTTGAAAATCTTCGATGTGTGGGGGTTTGATTTCTTCATGTTTTCTGCAGTTATAATGACTCAATATAAGAAATGCAAGAAAAATATAAGCAAATAAGAATCAATAAACCATAAGCATACTGCATAGATTAAAAATACTCAAGTACCAAGTACAACGAGTCCCAAAATTGATCACACAAGTAAACCATTTCAAACAAATTTTTTGCATAAAATATAATAAAACAGAGTTTAAAAATAATGGAAATTAATCGAATAAAATTATAGATTTTTGTGCCCACAGATCCTTAGCCTTCTTCACGACCCTTTGAGCAGTCATATTTAAATCGACCTTCACAATCGGCATCGCATCGACAAACCTACAAAACCCAGACATCGAAAAAAATTAAAAGAAAAAAAAATTATTTCCTAAAATTAATCGCATCCCCCATTTTCGCGATTAGAAAATCAAAACGAACAACGATGGGACAATTCAGGGATACCAATCGGAAGAAATTATTACCGAGGCCGCCAAAGGTGACGACAGTCGATGGGAAGGGGTTGGCGACGGAGAGAAGAAAAAGCATTTGGAAAACGAAACAAATGGACCAGAACAAAATTCGTGAGAAAAAAAAGGCAGAAACAATGTTTTGTTTACAAAAAGGAATAAAAAAAGAACACAAAGAGACGGGAGGAAAAGGAAGCGGCAAAAGGAGGTCACACGGTGAGACACGTGTCGACTCTCCAGCCACCTTCCAGTTCCCTTATATATTAAGAAGGTAGATAGATAAGAGAGGAGCAATGAAATGCACGTGTTGCATGCCATTCTCATCTTTTGACAAAATCTTTGTTACGAGATATTTATTTTGGCATTATGAGTTGGGTTTTGAATATTGATTAGTTGCACGGAAAACTATATATATATATTTTTTTTCGAAACGAAAACTATATGATAGAGGAAAAAATAATAAAAAAATTGTAAAAATCATATCATAATCATGGAAAAAAAACATTTTAATAAATCTAAATATTATTAAACACTTTTTTATATACAACGTTGGTGGTTTTTCTATCGGCACAATTTTCATCACCACAAATCATTATCCTCAAATTCATTCGTCATGACTCTGGAAAGCGTCATGTACAATTGCCCAGGACTAAATACGGGGCTCTTAAGTAGTAGGGCGACGTGCGACAAATACTGCCATTGACTTTTATTGATTGTCATAGCATAGGAAACCATGAGCAGGAACTGTCTGCACTGAAACTTGAAAGGTACCCTCAAATCGGGTGGTATAATTGTGAGTCTAATAATAACATTATCACCAATTCTGTCACCGGTTAAAATTCTATATTTGATGACATGACTGCTGAGCTTAGTAATAACCAATCGTGTGCATGTTGACCTCAAAAGTAGGACAACAAAAGCATATTACTCGAATTTGTACAAAAATCCAAGAAAATATAGATGATAGATCGAATTTTCATCAACAGTACCATTGCACAACCCCATAGAGTAATCAATGTTTCAGAAAATTTAAAATATTGTAAAGCTATTAAATTGTGCACTATTAATTATTTTTAAAAAGATAATATACAACAACTATCTATTTAATAATGTCAAATTTAATGTTTTCAAAAGTTCAGAAAAATTAAGAATGGTGTATGCTTAAATACATAAAATTATATAAAATCATATTTAAAAATCAAAATTTGTGAACATAATAACATACTATTTAGTTACAAATAAAAAAAGAAAAGATAAAAAATAGTTGCTAAATATTATCAAACAATAATTTGGTCATTAATATTTTGCACGTACTAATATTTCAACCCAAACTTTAAATAAAAAATGTGGGCCAAAATTAAAGGGTTGCCCAAAAAATCCATGTATACACGAAAACTGAATTATCCGTAGAATTTCAAACCACAAACATATACACGAGTAACACGACGGTGTGGAAAAGGAAGGACGAAATTACGACTGAGAGTCAATTTGATTCCCTCCATTTTATTTCTTCACCACAATTTCCCCTTCACTATTTTCCCTCTTGTTTCTACTTCATTCTCTGTCTACATTCTCGCGCGCGGGTTCTCCATTTCTCCATCTTTCTCACACACGCAAACAGTCCATCATCGTCTACCATAGTTCACTGGTGAGTCTGCTCTTCAGCTGCTGAAGTGTTTGAGTTTCGTTTGTTTCTTCTCAGTCGGTTGACTGTAAAGAACCCTAGAAGCCTCAGTTTATGCTCGATATCTGGTGATGCTGGACTTTATTCTTACTTTTCTCTTGTCAATGCTACTTGCTAGCTTCTCTAAGTGCTGGATTAGGGTTTGGTCCTGTTCAAACTCTCAATTTTGTTTCTCTTTGACAGCTGTACACTGTGGATTTTAGATACTCCGCCCCATTCGTTTGGCTTTACATCTTTATCTTAATGATTTTAATTGGCTATATGAGTGTTGGAATCTAATTGTTTTAGTTTTTGTTCCGGATGTAACTTGTGACTGTTTGGCTTATTTTGTATGGACTTTTTTTTCCCCTAAAATTATTTATTTATTTTTTATTATTACGGGTTGGGTCTTCTTATATCATTTTTGGTGCTAATTCTTAATATAAGTTGTACTGGTTATGTTTTTCTTCTTAATTTGCCTCCCAGATTGTATTGGAGCTAACTGTCCACAGTTCCAATAATGTATATAAAGCAGGTAACTAGTTGTTATGTTTGTTTGATAGGCCCTGTTATTGTTTTTGTATTTAACCAAACGTCTCATCTATTGCATGTGATCTCAGGTTGTAATAGAAGGTTTTAAGAGTTACAGGGAACAAATTGCAGCCGAAGAATTCAGTCCGAAAGTTAACTGTGTTGGTATAATATTATTTTTCCTTCTAAGCCATCTGTTTTTATCACCCACTTAATGTTCTATGTTTGTAATTCAATTTTAAATCTGTTGAATATGTGAGAAGCAATTTATATTTGATTTGTATATGCAGTTGGCGCTAATGGATCTGGAAAATCTAACTTCTTCCATGGTATGCTGACTTTCAAAAGTTGACTCTATTTCTATGTTCTTTTGCTGGATTGCTTAATAAAATTTGAGGTCGTACTTGCAGCAATACGCTTTGTGATAAGCGATCTATTTCACAACTTGCGCAATGAAGAAAGGCAGGCGTTGCTTCACGTATGTTCTGCAGTGAAACATTGTGGTTCCTGCAGCTTTAACCAATCATTCCTGCTAAAATTTTAGTACAATTCTAAATGATCATGCTTAAGTTCTTTCAATCAACAGGAAGGCGCAGGTCACCAAGTATTATCTGCATTTGTAGAGATTGTGTTTGACAACTCAGACAATCGTATCCCGGTAAATCTTGGGCTTCACACATGGAACAAACCATCACACACACACATCTATTTTCCTAATGCAACGGATTTTGTCACAGGATGCCGATTTATGATGATTGTTTTACCTGTTCTTTACATATTTCGTATGGAGATTGCTTACATGTGTTTTTCCGGTTCCATAAGAATAAAAAACTACCTGGTTAAGCTAAGCCTACTTTAACTAAGAAATGAACTGCTTGTACCTTACCTCACTGTTGTCTTCTTCGTTATTTCCTTCACTTTTTTCTTTCTTTGTTTGTCTTCAATTCTTTATTTTCACTTGAATTTGTGGAATTCATGCTGGCAAATCAAGCAGGTGTTTTGTTTAATGTTAAAATTGGTTATAAAAATCAACCTTCATATTATTTTAATTATTATGAAAGGTAACATATGCTGTGGGCTATTTGACGAATAATGAAGCATTTATATCTCCCAGACCTGCTATAGCATCTGACTATCTTTCTTATTTTATCTAGATTGTTTTAAGGCGTTTTAACATTTATTTCTAACATTTATTTCTGGCAGGTTGATAAAGAGGAAGTTCGGCTCAGGAGAACAATTGGTGTGAAAAAAGATGAATATTTCTTGGATGGGAAGCATATCACGTATGTATATCCTACTGCATAGTATGCTTGTCGTTCATATATGAATGTATATACTTGTCATATATATAATTTGAAACATTACTTTGGTACTTGTTGGAATATCTCTTGGAATATCTCTTGTAAGTTGTCCCACATTGACTAAATAAAGAAAATTGGCATAGTTTATAAACCTAGCGAGCTACACTTCCCATCACCAATTGGTTTTGGGATAGAACATCGCTTAGGTGGCAATTAGCCACACCCAATTGAAGGTGTGCTTCGCCCCAATTGGACCGCACCCATTCCCCCGAACATAAATATAATATGATACAAGAGGAAGCCTGATCTAGGCCCTATAATGACCTGTGATTAACCAAGCTTGATATGAGACAGTTAAAGGAATCATAAGTGAGTGGGCGTGTTGGAATATCACTTGGGAGTTGTCCCACATTGACTAAGTAAGAAAATTGACATAGTTTATAAGCCTAATAAGCTACTTGGTTTTGGATGGAATCTCACTTAGGTGGCATTTAGCTCCCCCACTAAAGGTGTACTTCGCCCCTATGAGACCGCACCCCTCCCCCGAATATATAAATGCAACAGTGCTTATCAATTAATTTTTAACCCTTTAGTATATAGTAAATATTTGCTGATTGCATTTTGAGTTTTCAGGAAAACGGAAGTCATGAATCTGCTAGAAAGTGCAGGATTTTCTCGTTCTAATCCTTATTATGTTGTGCAACAAGGAAAAGTAAGTAATATCTTTCTTGTTTTTTCCCTTTTGCTTTGTTTTTTAGTTCAACATTCTGATGTTTGTTTCTTCTCAGATTGCATCATTGACATTAATGAAGGACTCAGAGCGACTTGATCTGCTGAAAGAAATTGGTGGGACTCGGGTTTATGAGGAGAGACGTCGTGAAAGTTTGAAAATCATGCAGGAGACGGGCAAGAGCTCTTTATACTGCTTCTTGAATCCCATTTTTGTTTTATGTTTCTAACAGCTGTTTGTTGCACAGGTAATAAGAGAAAACAAATAATTCAAGTTGTCCAATACTTGGATGACAGACTTCGAGAGCTTGATGAAGAGAAAGAGGAACTGAAAAAGTATCAGCAACTTGATCGGCAGAGAAAGTCTTTAGAATACTCTATCTATGACAAAGAACTTCATGACGCTAAGCAACAATTGGTCAAGGTATTTTTGTTCAAACCTTCACAATATTCCTTTATTTGAATTGTTATTGAAATGACCTTTTTGTTTGGATCATTTCTTATTTTTTAATTTTTACTTACCTAAATTTTTCCTTAGGATTAAACCCAGGCATGACAATGGGGTGTTACAAATGCTTTAGCACTTGGTTAAATAGTGATTCCTGATTCCTTGAATGTTTAAGATGCTGTAATTTTATGAATGATGAGCCCCAAGGTATATATATTCAGAACTTTTACTGTTTGTTGTAGAAAATAGCACATTCAGACACAACCTTGTTTTTATTTTTATTAGAAATATGTAATTCATAATATTAAATAGTGGCCTACGTAAATTTGCATAATGTTTTTGAACAATGGTACAGTCATTAACAATTATAAAGTAATTAAGTAGAGTCTAGTATCTGAGAAGATTGAAATTTACTCAAGTGCTGTGTTAACAAAACTTCCTTTCTACAATTAATTACAAGTGTCTTCAAACTAAATTATGTTTGTTCGTACATTTCAGCCCAGGAGTGGATAAAATTTCATGTGAGTTAGTAAACAGAATCGAAATTCCATCAGTGCTAAATTGTCGATCTAATTCGATCAAGAATGTTATATCTAAGCTAACAAGCCAAGAAAGCAAAATCTATTAAAAGTTTCAATAGCTTAGCCTAGGTTAATGATTTTAACACAAATAATCAGATATAAATAATATAGCAAATCAATCCATGATTTCTAATCATGGATAATAATCGAGATTCCTTAGTTATCCAATAACCTTTAACAAAGAGTAATTAATTATTGCCTTTTTATTGTCTTTTCATTAAGGAACCGTCTCTTGGTTTATTAGAAAATTGTGCATTGCAAAATTGTGAACTGTTTATAATCATGAAATTCTCTTTGAAAATTTATGAATAATTTTTTTTATGAGAATTTAGTCTTTTGTGTACATATGAAATTCAATCTATATTCGCTAAGACATCAAATTATTTGAAGTCTGTTCTCATTCATATGATTTCTTCAGGACAAACTACCTATATGAACATAAAAACCAATTATTTTTCTTTAAAGTAAGTTCTTTTCATTTTTTCTTCTTCTTTTCTTTTATTTTCTTTCCGTTTTGCCTTCTCTTTTTCTAAAAGTGTGGGAGAGAGGAGGTTAGCCCTAGAATAAAATTTTAAGAGAATCTTTGACCATAGATGTACTAATTAAAGCTCTTTGCCCAACACACGAGCTTAGGGAAGAGGGTGCCAAGGGAAGGATGTAAATAATCCATCACTTGTTACTTGTTGGGTCTTTATGCATACGGCGGGCTTTAGTATTTATTTCCTACAGCTTACAAAATCATAGATTACTTTGTTTTCCTTGACAATTAAGCATTTGATCCTACTACACATGCCTGAGATGTGACACATACAAGCATTTTGTGTTGTTGAAATTCCTGATTACTTATTGTTGTAGTATAACTATATTTAAATTTTGCTAATCATTATAGATAGAAGAGGACCGGTACCAGATTTCTGAAAAATCTGCCAGAATGTACAATAGTGTTTCAGATGCACATGAAAAGGGCAAGGAGTTGGACAAGTTACTGAAAGATCTGACTAAAGAAGCTCAGATTTTAAGCAGAGAGAAGGAAGCAATACAGAAACAAAGAACAGAAGCTATTAAGAAGCGTGCAAAGCTTGAGCTTGATGACAAAGACTTGCACGATAAGATTAAAGCAAATATCAAAGCTAAGGTGCTGTTGACCTGCGTCAAATATAAGTTTCAGAGGCTGTACGCATAAATTGATTGTTAAATTATAAATGAAACATGTTGCTTATATATGGGCTCATAATCCAGGATGATGCTGTGATGCAACTCGAGCTTCTGGATCAAGAAATTCAGCAATCAAATAATGAACTCACTAGAATTAAGCAGCTATATGATAAGCAGGTTGGGGAGGAAGAAAATTTGACACGAGAGTACGTTTCTTTTTAATGCTTTCAGGCTTGTAGTCTTTGCTTTTCTGACAAGAAAATCTTGGTACTTTCTTCCATTTAATTTATTGCGACATTCGTCCAGTAGTAATTTTGATTGTTGAATTCATGCTACTTAGCAGGAATATTTAGATAGTAATATTTTCTGAATGTGTGTGTGTAGGATAATGGATCGTGAAAAGCAGCTCAGCATTTTGTATCAGAAACAGGGCCGTGCTACTCAGTTTGCTAATAAAGCGGCTCGTGACCAGTGGCTTAAAAAAGAAATCAGGGACTACGAGCAAGTTTTGTCCTCAAACCTTGCACAGGTGAATCTCTTTGGTATTATGCTGCATCTATGTCACTATAATTTAATGGAGAGAAGCTGCTGGAAACATGGTATTAGATATAAGGACACATTCTATGTCGCTGTTGTTATAGTAATTGTTTGCATAATCTCTGGTTTTGTTAAACTTGAGTGGCTCATTTACCTTTTTCCTGGTTCAGAAGTTATTTTAATCCGTGTTTTGCTTGTTTCAGGAGGCAAAACTCAGAGATGAAATTGAGCAGCTCAAGAGAGAGATTTTAGAGAAGGATGACTATATAAAGGGACGGAAAGATGAAGCAGCCGAACTTGAATCTCGAATATCTGGATACAGACAGGGATACAACGAGTATAAACTGGAGAGAGACAAACTGCATGATAATCGGAAGTATGATGATCATTATTATTATTATTATTAGTATTATTACTTTTTTGTTTGCGTTCTTCATATGGATTCTAATTACTCACTGATGTTTTAGGTCCTTGTGGGCTAGAGAAAGTGAGCTCACTGATGAAATTGGTAGGCTCAAATCAGATGTCGTCAAAGCTGAGAAAAGCCTGGATCATGCGACTCCCGGTGTGAGTCCTTGATGTCATAATGTTAGGAAGACCTTATTTTTATTGTATTATTGAATTTGTTGGATTTTCATTCGATCTTTATTTGAAAATTAACTAGGATAGGGGGTTGTTAATTTAGGGGGTGATTGAATATGGATTCAACTAGTTTTTATTTGTTTTTTTTAACCATAGTTAATTTTGAAAAAATGTGGTATGGTTAGTTGTTAGTGGATATTTAAGTTTAAATTAAAATATTATTTAAAATAAAATAATTAAAGTTGATTTGATGTAAACGTAGGAGAAAAATGGTTGGAAGTGATGGTTAGTTAAAATTATGTGAGTGGATCAACAGTGAAGTGAAGTTGATGTGATGTGTAAGAATGATTGGTTGATAATATATAATTATATTGATAATATTGGAGATAGTGGGGTTGGGTTAAAGTTGAGTTAAATTTGAGCTTTGATTGGTTTTTTTGGGTTGAGTTGATAAACAATGACCCCCTTAATAATTATATGCCCGGCATTGGGTTTTGGAAACGTTGGTTAATAGTGGAATTAAGTCCACCATCTGACATAAAAGTGGGTAATGTACAAAAAATATCACAAGAAAATGTTGAGAGGTTGTACTTATGGGCCCGTAATTTACCATATTAAAGATTTGGAGCTTAACATGACACATTAAGGCTTTATACGAATCACTTTCTATGAAGCCTAAGGATGAGGCCACATAGCAGGGGGTTATAGCATTATCGTTCCAGTCTTGATATCAGTACCTTCTTTCCTCTCTACACTGCATGTCCTGTATCTATGGTCCTGATTTTGGTTGCATGACTTGACATGTTCAGGATATAAGAAGAGGATTGAATTCTGTTAGGAGGATATGTGAACAGCATGGCATTGGGGGAGTACATGGTCCCGTGATTGAGTTGCTTGAGTGCGACACAAAATTTTTCACAGCTGTTGAAGTTACTGCTGGAAGCAGGTGAAGACACTCAAATTAGTTCGATAGGTGTCCAATGAAAATGAAATTCCCATTCATTGCTCTTATTTTCGCTTCTATAACTCTGAACAGGAAGAAGAGTACTGACCACACGTTTTATTGCAGTGTTTGCTATTTCGACTCTTACTATTTTTGGTGTCACTACTGATATATTTCTGTCTACAGTTTATTCCATGTGGTGGTTGAAAATGATGATATATCAACTAAAATCATTGGGCATCTCAACGCACAAAAAGGTGGGCGGGTGACATTTGTACCATTGAACAGGGTGCAAGCTCCACAAGTTACATATCCACGGAGCTCTGATGTTGTTCCACTTCTGAAGAAATTAAATTTTCTGGAGAAATATTCTTCAGCATTCGGTCAGGTAGGCACTTAGTTGTTACTTGCATGCAACCTGCTCCTGCAGGATCTCACAGTTAAAATAGGACTTAGTTGCATTCTTTGACTGAGCTAGCAACTGTTTTTTAAGTGATATTGCCACTGCTTGTGCTTACTATTTATGGAAGTATTCTTGGCTATTGTTGTCATTCATGCACAATTGATATGCAGATAGATTTAAGCTCTCGCAGCATTTTTTTCTTCCTCCCTCTACTCCTTAGTTGTCTTGCATCTTAAATGAACTTATCCTTTACCATAAGCTATTTCAATCCAAATACGATGTACAGTACCATGTCGAAAATGATAATTGATTAATTCCTGACTCAGATGAGCTGGTAACAACATTGACATTTTTTTAACTTCTAGCCACTTTTGCTAAGTATTAACAAGTGAAAAAGCTCATTCAGATAGTTAGAGTGATGTTATGAACGAGATAATAAAAGGTACCGTGTTATTCTGTGCATTGTAATTTTGGCTGACTTATGCTTGATAGCACTCATATAGGGCTACATGTGTATAGGATTAGAACGAAAGTGGATCCTGGAGTGTGTGCTTATTGTTTGATTTTGCTGATATACTGCACCTGCTAGCAATTGTTTGTTATATGTGGCTGAGGTCGTTTACGGATGATATTACCATTCTTTTGTGTTTGTTGGCAAACTGACAGGTGTTTGCAAAGACAGTAATTTGCCGGGATTTGGATGTAGCAACAAGGGTTGCCCGTGCTGACGGTTTGGACTGCATCACCTTGGAAGGTTGCGATTAACTTCATATAGTATTTTTTTGCTATTCTTAGCATTTAGCACTTGGTTGCCATTACAGTTTCACCCCTTGCACTACAGGTGATCAAGTTAACAAAAAAGGTGGCATGACGGGGGGTTTTTACGACCCTAACCGTTCAAAACTAAAATTCATGAACACCATTAGACAGAATATGAAGTCTATTAGGATGAAGGAAGAGGAGCTAAACAAAGTCAGGGATGAGCTTCAAAATATCCTATTTAAGTCTTTTTCTCTTCCCTCGTGTTCACTTCATGGTTGCTGCAATACTCTCACCCCTAGTTATATATTTGCTTCATATGGCTTTTTAATTGTGATGGTAGAAAACAACAGATGTCAATCGAGGTCATGGTCTACCTTTGAGTTACCATTCACTTATGCCATTTTTATCATTATAATATTATCATTCAATGCATGCATATATGTCTGGAACTTTTTGTATGTTGTCGTCACTATTTTCACTTTGAAGAATCAAGAACTTGCTTTCCTACATGTCGATATTTTACCAGTGCTGGTTTTGTACTTTGGAGTTATTTGCCTAGTTTTGTCAAGAAATCTGAGCATTTTGATCAATGCCCTCACATCAGCAGAATGTATATTTGTGCATGTTATGTCATGGTTCCTCCATTTCCCTTATGATTCTTGCATGAACAGTATGCTCTACTAGACATGTTTTGTTTTTTCCCCCAAATTGTGGCATTTGTTTTCGCTGAATTTGCCCCCACAGACAGACCAGAAAATAAACGAGATAGTGGCAGAGCAGCAGAAGAATGACGCCAAGTTGGCTCATGAAAAATCTGTAATTGAGCAGCTGAGGCAGGACGTAATGAACTCTGAGAAGCAAAAACATTCCATTTCAAAGTCCCTTGCGAAGAAAGTGTGTTAACCTTCCGAAAAGATTTCAATAAGTTCTGATAATTTTCTTTTTTTACTAATTTTCATTGCATTTCTCATTTTTGCAGGAGAAGTTACTCTCAAGCGTATTGACTCAAATAGATCAGAATAAAGCTAATATTTCTATGAAACAAGCTGAAATGGGAACAGAACTTGTCGATCACTTGACATCGGAAGAGAAGGAGTCTCTATCTCGGTTGAATCCCGAAATCACCAATCTGAAGGAGCAGCTAATTACTTGCAGGAGTAACCGCATGGAGGTAGGAAGTTAATTTAGGCTCGTCCAGTCACTGACCATTGATTGCTTTTGTCTAGTGGACATCATTTAATACTGCCAATTTTCAGACGGAAACAAGAAAATCAGAGCTTGAGATGAATCTGTCTACAAATCTGGTTAGGCGGAAAGAAGAGTTGGAGTCAGTCAAGCTATCTACAGAGACTGATTTGTTACAAGGGGAAGCTGAGTTGAAAAGACAGGAATTGATGGATGCCAGTTTATTAGTTGATCAATTGACACAAGAGCTCAAGAGTGAGAATTTGTAGTCTTTATGCTCATCTTCTACTTAAGTTCAATTTTGTGGTTCATCTGTGATATTTATGTCTTCTACAGGAGTAACTGAAAGTATAAATGAGAGGAGTAGAAAATCAGAAGCGATCAAAGTTGAAAAGGATAAACTGAAGGTTTTCTTAGAGTACTCCTGTATTGGATTTAGTTTCTGGTGTTTGGTTGCTCTTTTCTGCATTAAGGGATTTCCTTCTTTTTCTTTTTTTTTTTTTNTTCAGCGTGTGTGTGGGTTTTATTATGTCATAAGTTTTTATATAGGATCTGAGAGTGCATGTTGATGTAGAGTAAAGAAGATGAGTACCAAGCTACTCTGCAAGATGAAGCAAAAGAGTTGGAGCTCCTACTGAGTAAGAAGAATATGTATCTGGCGAAGCAAGAAGAATGCACGAAGAAAATTCGAGATTTGGGTCCCTTATCTTCTGATGCTTTTGAAACGTAATCTTCATATATCATAATTAAATTCTACTATTCATCCATCTGTTAATTTATGTATGCAGTCACTATCTTTCGGAAAAATGATTTGATAGAATGCTCCACTTAACTTCTGTGTAAAGATTCCTTAAGGTTTTTATTGTAGAAAAACCAAGACATCTAGTATGAATGGATATAGTTACATTATATTATTTTAAAACTAGAGAGTAGGACAAAAGATTTTGGGGAAAAGATGAAATTTCTGATGTGAATGGATGTAATGTAAAAATGTAATGATTAAAGTTGATTTCATGTAAAACTAGCAAAATGATGATTCATATTTAGGAATATGTGAGTGTATGAATAGTAAATTTGGTAGAGAAATGTGTAGCGATGATTGTTTTATATTTCAAAAATTGTGTTGATAAAATTTTGATAAGTAACTAATGCAGTTTTTGTATGCAGTCACAACTTTACGAAAAACTGTTTCCTCTAGTTGGAAAAAAATGAATTTTTCTTATATCCATCCATCCTCGTAATACCTTGACTGTATCATTCAGTGATGACGAGGTGCCTTTTGTACAAGACGAAAGTCTAAATTCCAAATTTGAATGCTGACTGCGTTCTTAGCATTTTGTTTTGTGGTGGTTTTCTGTTTTCTTCTTTCTCTGTGTTTTTATTGTGTGTTAATCATTTGTCTCTCCTCTGTCTGTTTTTTTCTCGTACTTGCTTTGCCTTGTTTTATGTGGAGATTGTAAGATGTATTATACTCTTATGGAGAGCCAGCATCGGCGGAGCATAATTTCGGTATACTGAGCTTTACTTTGCGACACTAGCTTTACTCTTGGGCACACACCTGGAACCTTTTTCTAATCCGAGCATACAGAGAAATATCAAAGTGCCAAATGTGCTTTTGAGTTTTGACACTTCTAATGCACTGCAAATCTTGTTGGTTCTTGACTTTGACGTATTAATGGGTGCATTTTATGGATATGAAAGATGTGTCTTCGTGTATGAAGTGGATCCCCAATATTGAAAATCCTTATTTCTTATCCATTTCCAATTAGTCTATTTTATACAGTAATGAAACAACGACAAGGATCATTTGTTCTGTTCTAACATCTTTCATTGCATAAAATCTACAATGTTGATTATGAGTTCATATTTTAGATCTTCAGTATTAAGAGATATTATGTACGCAGAACCTATATAACAAGCTAATCAGGTCTCTCTCCTTTTTGGCAGTAAACATGTCTTTAACCTGTGCCTCTATAGAGTCTTTTTGCAGAAAAGGAGGAACAGGGATGTATTGCTTTTGCATAATTTGCTGTACATCTGTTTAACGACTGAATGCGCTTTTGATATGCTTATAGACTTTCCAGAATAATTATGATAACCCAGCTTCTAGTAACCAATGAATTTCTGCTCTATTATTCTCTCTTGTTGCGGTGGGTTTATGCAATGATATTTGTGTAATTTTCTTGTTTACAACTGCCACCTACCTTAAGAACAAGTTAAAATTGATCTGGAGAATGAGATGGATGATCATGTAATATGTAATTACCTTAAGGCCTCACTTAGTTATTTCAAGTTGTAAATGTTACCCGCACTCCGTGCTCTACCTGATGACTTTCGCCGGTTAAGACATGGATACATCAAGGCCGAAGCATTGATGATCTAAATCCATTCAAGGAACCTGTTAGATGTCAGATGGAACTAATTAGATTCATTCTCTATGTAACCACACACGTTCCATGTTCGCAGGACTTAAACCATAAATTCTATAAATGACCACATTGACAATACCTCTTTGAAGAGGGAACTTGGACGAATTGGGTCTCATGATATGCTAGTTCTAAACATTTTATTTCTTAAAATAGTTCATCTCTGATGTTTATTTCAAGTGCTTTATTGTGGATGGTTTCCCTGATTTACTCTTCTGCAAATCAAATCCAGGTATAAGCGGAAGAGCATAAAAGAATTGAACAAACTGCTTCACAAGTGTAATGAACAACTGCAACAGTTCAGTCATGTGAACAAAAAGGCACTTGATCAATATGTAAATTTCACTGAGCAAAGAGAAGAGTTACAGAGAAGGCAAGCTGAGTTGGATGCTGGTGATGATGTAAAGTTATTCATCTTAATTGTGATATTTTCTTTTGGATTTAGGATGGTGATTTGTCTTCTTAATTCCTACTGTTGCGTGTAGAAAATCAAAGAACTTATATCAGTTTTGGATATGAGGAAGGATGAATCCATTGAACGTACATTTAAAGGTGTGGCGAAGCATTTTCGAGAAGTATTTTCTGAACTTGTGCAAGGAGGTCATGGATATTTGGTTATGATGAAAAAGAAGGTTTGTTATATTGCTCTCATATATTAATATAGTGACAAACTGTATATAATATATAGTTTAGTCTTCTCCAATTTCTGGGTTTATATAATATTAATTGTTACTTTTTTGGTTCACTTTACCTTGATTCTATCACTTACATGTTATGAGTTCTTTCTAATTTGGGGGTTGGGGGTGGGTGGTTATTTGGGTTGGGCCAACCAGAAGATCTATTATATATATTACTCTCTTGCTTCCTTCAAAGTTGGTTTAATTCATACAAATGCTATTTTTTTAAACAGTTATATTGTTGTTTTCCCACCACTTGTTTCAGGATAATGATGACGTTGATAATGATCTAGATGATGATGAGCCTCGTCCAGCAGAAACTGAGGGTCGGGTTGAGAAATACATTGGTGTGAAAGTGAAGGCATGCACTCTCTTTCCTTTTCTCGCCCCTATATCGACCCATTTCTTCTGCTGTCTTGTGTTCTCTCCGTAATTTAGCATATGCATGACATTATATTTTTAGACGTGCTGCATCTTCGACTTAATTTAGGGGGACATTCTGCGGTACATGCTGGGCACTGTGCCTTGGGTATCAACTCTATGGATTTATACTAGAACTTTCAATGGTTAAATGAACTTAGGGATTTACATTTTTGATGATGTGGCGATACATTGCTACATGGTATATTATCTTTAGGACTAAATGATTTCTCCATCATAGGATGCGTCTGAATACACGTCCAGCTTAAATTTTTTTATATAGTTGACACGACACTCACTTTCACTTTTCAATCCCACCATTTACTTGAACTTCATTTCATTTCTATAACGTATATCACTCACGAATTATCGATGGACATTTTTTCGTAAATTGTTTTTAACCCACTCGTAGTTCTAACTACCTATAGAATTTTTTAAATAACTATACAATCATTATTTACTATTTTTTATATAAAATCAACATTAATTATTGCATTTCCATTTCATATTTATTCACACTTTCAATTTTATTTTACCAATTCTTCACTATTTTTGCACCGAAACATAGTTTTCAAGCACGAATATGTATTTAAATGCACCCTTAGCTCTTTACTCTGTATATTGAGCAAAAACTAGAAACTTGGGAAAGGCACCTTTGCATTTCAAGACTCTTTGTACCTTCTGAATCGTAGTTTGTGTTATTTCTATTATCTGATTTTCATATTTCTCTTCTTTAACCCACCCTTTCTCTCCTTGTGATAGGTTTCTTTCACCGGGCAAGGGGAGACGCAATCAATGAGACAACTGTCCGGAGGTCAGAAAACTGTGGTGGCTTTGACATTAATCTTCGCCATACAACGATGTGATCCCGCGCCATTTTATCTTTTCGATGAGATTGATGCAGCACTTGATCCTCAGTACCGAACTGCTGTCGGGAGTATCCTTTTGTTCTGGTGTAGTTTTAGTGTTTACTTCGTATTTTCTTAGCACACACGTAAATACTTAGAAATGCTAATGCTGATGTGTAGCTAACGTCGAAAGAACTAAAAAATAATAATATTTTTCAATGTTCTCTAGTAAAGGATAACTAGAGAATTTCTGCCTATGGTTCCCAGTGGCTACGCTAACAAATTTTAAAATCATTTTCCTCCTTTTGTGGCGCCTATTGGGATTCCTTTAACTTTTTCTTGTAGACATGGTTCGTCGTTTAGCGGATATGGCTGGCACTCAGTTCATAACTACTACATTCAGGCCTGAGCTCGTGAAAGTTGCGGACAAGATCTATGGCGTGACCCACAAAAATAGAGTCAGCCGTGTTAATATTGTTTCCACCGAAGATGCTTTAGGTTTTATTGAGCAAGATCAGACTCAAAATGAGGTTAAACATATTTCTGTTGAAACTCAGACTTTTCTGTTTATCCAAGGTTGGAAGAATTTCACACAAGCGCACTCACACATGCAAAGGGAAAAAAATGCGAGTATCTTTTAAAAGAATGGCATTTTATTTGTTTTAAAACTAAGCTGAACTTGTGATAGTGTCTATTAGCTACCTTAATACAGTGAAATCCTTTCAAATAGTTTANGCTAGTTTCTTTCAAATAGCTTCAATATAGTTTCTTCAAAATAGTTAGTCTTTATCCCGAAAAAGAAAAAAAAATCTAAGGTATCTTCTAAAAGATATTTTGGGAAGATATTTTGTTTTTTATTCTGTATTTCTACTAGGCGGAAATTAGGATGGTTACTACTAACTATCCTTATTTTTCAGCCTCCTGTGAGTACAAATGACTATTTGTTGTATTTTATGAACTCTGCAGTGAAATTCAAAGCCCTTCTAGACGACAATGGAAGATGATGAGGATGATGAAGATTTCTGAATTACACAATGTAATATGCCCATGCCCACTGTTAATTTGGCTGCTTGCTGGGGGATGTTCTAGTATGATATTTTGATAAACTAGCCCGTCTACTGTAATATGAGTTATGTAGACAAAAGAATGCAATGTAATTAAACTGTACAAATTGATATGAAAATGATTGCTTGGACTATATTTTTCTTATGCATGATGGTATAGTCTAGGGTCATATGTTGATATTATTTGTAGGGTATGTTTGGTATCTTAGCTTTTTATATCTTTTAAGTGAATTTCGAGCTTATAACTGATAGCTTATGACTTATTGTTGAAAAATTAGTTTATATGATAAAATTGTTTGGTAAAATTAGTTGAAATAAAAAATTCAATTGACTTATTTGAAAAGCTACTTAATGAAATTTATAAGATAAGCTTGAGTTTTTTAAAAAAGTTTGTCTTATCAAATCAAGCTTATTAGAATACATGAAGTTTATAAACTAAATAAATAAAATATAAGTTAACTTATATGATTATCAAACATAATTGAGTTAACTAAATAAAATATAAGTTAACTTATATGATTATCAAACATAATTGAGTTCAGTAGAAAGGAAGATGCAATAATTTATGGCATTTTTCTTTTGAAGTTAGTCTTTCTTTTATAGGGGAGTTAGTAGGTGGATCATGCTATAGTAACACGAGAGATGGCATAAAGTTTGACATAATAACATGTGTCACGATTTTATTGCTTTACACATCACATTATTTTTAAAATTATGAGTGTTAGATTATCATATCAATTTAGGGCATTCTCTATGCAATTGAAATCAGCAACTATTAAACTATCATATAATTTTGGTCAACCTCTATTGAATAATTACGTCAGTGACTCAACCAGTATTAAACTATCATATAGTTTTGATCACCTTCTATGTCAATTAATTAGGATGTTACTAAACACCGTCCCCTATTACTATGTAACACCTTTCCTGAATGATTTTGCTCCCAAATTTTCAAAAAACTCAGAAAATTGCAAATTCTCTGAAGCCAGGCGATTCCCGACAAGAAAATGTCTGACAATGAGGTGCGTGTTTTGGCCGGCCGGCGGGCGGCCAACTGGCGAATGCGGCCGCACTCGGTTACGGCCGGCCAGTCGCATCAATCCCCTCGAAGACTGAAGTCCGTTATCAATTTTGTGTGCTCTATTTCTTTTTCATCTTTTACTTATTTGTATTCACGTACTTTCGTTAAGAGTAGTATTTTACGTTTGTTGTAGAGATATTTTGTTCTAACCAATAAAGAACTTTTCAAAAAACCACATCCATCCCCTTTTCTCTGGCTCCAGGCCTAATGCCTACACTCTAGTCAGTTTACCTCGTGCTTGTACGAACACCGGCCTTAAACCGCATGGCGAGCAACTTCATACCTACATTCTGAAGTCCAGTTTCCTCTCTAACGCCTTCGTCTCTTCGGCTTTGGTTATTCAGCGTGAAGTTTGATCTGTTGTATGAAGCACGATAGCTGTTTGTCGAAATTCCTGACCCAAGCGCAGTTTCTTTGAACCTTTACACTCTGCGCAGTTTTGGAAGGCACTTTCAGCTGGAAAAATCCAAAGTTTGGGCAGATCCGTATTCTCTTACTGCTGCTTCTGGACACCTGAGAATGGTGCGTGTGGGGAGATGCATGCATTCCAAGATCTTCAAACATGATGTGGCGTGGCGTTCAGTGTTTTTCATCTCCAATTGCTTGAGCGACATGTAGGGAAAGTGTGGTCTCGTTGAGGAGGCGGTGAAGGTTTTGAATTATGGTTTGAGAGGGGCAACTTTCTGGAATTCCGTAAATAACAGGGTTTGTAAACAGAGGCACATCACGTGGTTTGAAAGTCCTTTCATGGTGTGTCCGCCACCTGAAAGATATACAAACGGCTGAATGGCAGCCCGGAAGTTGATCAATCGTGAAGGTGATAATGAATATGAATAAGTGATAATGTTCAACATTTATGTATTGCTTGGGAAATAGTTTAAAGCCAACTTCAATATTGAGGTGTAATCAGCTGCCTTCTCTCTCGGTATGGCACTGCTCAACTTGTTGTCAGAAAGATAAATGACCTGAAGCCATGAGATAATGATCTTGGATTACAAGATCAATCCCTGGACCAAGCAATGTTCACCGATGAAGAAAACGCTGGGGAAAGAAGGGAATTTAAGCAAGTCTGTAAAGATGATTATCGATCTTGGTTACGGTTGTTGTGTGGTGGTTTGGAAGTCCTTGCTTGGTGTGTCTCTCCCTGTGTGGATATACATTTCTCTTAGGTGATGGACCACAATTTGATCGAACATGAAGGTGATATTGAGTTTGTGTACATGATCATGCCCAATATATATGTGTTACTTACATCGGAAATGGGAAGATATGGGTGGCATCAGAAAGGCAAGGACAGACAAGAAGGTGATGAAGGAAGCTCGTTCTAATTGGATCAAAGTGGAAAACAATGTAATTCTATACCAGAACTCCTTGGTAACGTGATTAACATGCAATTGATGTTTCATAAGTGCTTTTAATATCTGAGATTCTTGTAGTCCGATGCAATCTGATAATTGCTGATCTACACAAGTTAATTTCAGTAATTTTTCCACATTAACAGTAACACTCAGCTGTTCTAATGAGAATAATGGTGTTAAAAATGATTATGCTGTAGGTAGTTAAACCAAAACTCAGTGGCCTGATTGGATTGAAAGAAACTGTTGATTATTATGGACTTCGGTTTGTGCTAGATGAAAATTATGTTAATGCCTCTCTCATTGAGAAATTTAGTTCAAGATTAATCAACACAGATCTAATCTCTAAGGTGCTTTGTACACAGACTTAAATTTTCAGTGAAAAATTTGGAAAAAGGAAAATATAAAATACATCATTCTGGATAAATGGATCATATCAAAGGCCAACTGTGTAACAATTTTTTCTTTTCATAGTTTAGAATTTCAGTTATCGGCAATCATTTTAATGTCAGTTATAAAGTGTCTCTTGCAATGTCTTCTGATTTTTGTTTCTTGAGATTACTATTTATTGTTGCTTATGACTGTAGGACGCGAGATCCAGAAATGTCATCCCAGGAAACGGAACCAACTTATGGAAATGAGAAATTTGCTAATTGGAATACTAAAAGGTGACAAAGTTGGGGAGTTTGAGCTTTAAAGTGTGATGGAGTGTGATTTGGTATATCAAACCATTGCGTAAGATCCTATTATCCTAATACCTTGGAGTTTAGTTTAGTTTATATTTCTTTTTAATTTTTGTTAATATTGTTGAAATAATTTTATGGGCACTGTTCTTATCCAGAGACATGTTGATGTTCTGTAAATTTTCCATTCTGTTTCATGCAAAAAAAATATTAGTTGCAATATAAATATCCTTGTGTTGGGCTCACCTAAGATAGTCATACTTACTAGAAGGAAATAGATTTCTTATGAGGCTTAGTTTCCTGTGACAGGTTTATAAAATCACTTTAGCTGAAAACACATGATGCTAATCTGCAAAGTTTGTCGGAAAAAGATGTGTGGGATTCAGTATTAACATATATTGAATACAGTTTGTAGACATATGAAAATCGATAATAAGTGACATATATATTGAGAACTAAATTGCAATAATGTCAAATAGCAATAAACATCATTACTCATAAAAAATACATAAACCAAGCTTATTATGTTTGGAACTTAATTACATACAAAGTATAATTATGTTTGGAACTTAACTACATACAAAGTATAATTGACATTCATAATTTCGACATAGGGGAACAAACAGAAATCTACACAACCTAAACTTTGGCCTTATTCACCTTTTCCAACCTAAGCTATTTTTCTTGCAACTGGATAACCTTAGCACAGAGCCCGTTCATTTTGGAACCTCTAACAACCCAAAGTACAAGTTTGCAAGGTGAATTATTTGCATCGCTAATTCGGTTCAGTCACAAAAACAAATGTCATTTTGATTGTTTACTGTAAAGGACATTCCTCCATTTCTCCATAATCAGTCACCAAGGAGCTGAAGCTTTATCCTCCTCAATGCCACAACAACATCTTTGATGCTCATCCTCTCATGAGGAGATTCCAAAGAGCAGTTTAATCCCAACTCCAATATCGAGGATAAACATTCTACCTTCTTGGTCGAGCCATCGTCACCTGGGCTCAATAAGTTTGGATCAATAATATCAAGGACTCCATTTGGCATAGATTCCTTCACAAAAGTCCTCAAGCTCAAATCTTCAGTGAACATCTCATCATTAGGTGGCTTTCTTGTGAACACTTCCATCAGTACTATACCATAACTATAAACATCACATTTCACCGATACAAACCCTCCTGTCCCATACTCTACAACAATATACAAGAAAAAGATTAAGTTAAATCTCTCTCTCTCTCTCTCTCTCTTCTTTTTTTGGCGGTAGTAGAAATTTACTCGAGAGAAAGAAACTTACCTGGCGCGATATAACTCAGGGTTGCTAGTGTCATGGTCTGCACGATGCTTTCCCCTTCACCCAAAAGCTTGGCGATGCCGAAATCGCACAAGCAGGCCGTCATGTTCTTGTCGAGCAGTATGTTGCTCGGCTTCAGGTCGCAGTGAATCACGGGCACCGAGTAGCCTTGATGGAGATACTCGAGAGCGCACGCGACATCTATCATGATTTCAATTCTTTGATTCATGCTCAATAAATTGTTGTGCGAATACAGCCACTTGTCGAGGCTCCCACGAGGCTTGTACTCGAGCACCAAGGCCTTGAAGTCTTGACTCGAGCAACAATCAATGACCTTACAGAGATTTCTATGACGAAGGTTTCTCAAAACCTCGCACTCGACTTCGAAACTCTTGAAAGCACCTTCGAGCTCCAAGTTGAAGACCTTTACGGCCACAACCTTCCCGTTTTCGAGAGTACCTGATGTAGGGAAGCGTACGAAACCAAATATTATTTCATTCCAAAATCAACTCCCCTAATAACAAAGGAGAAGAGCCCTTTAAATAAGACCCTCAAACTAAACACTAGCTTATTCTCCAAGCTAACTACTAATTATTAACTAATATTAATTGCTATAATAAGACTACTACTACTACTACTACTACTACTACTACTACTACTACTACTACTACTACTACTACCTTTGTAGACGGTGCCGAAACCACCACTACCAAGCAAATTGCTCTGGCTGTATCCCTTGGTATCTTGGAACACCACACAACCCTTTGTTGAAGATGAAGGATTCGAATGTGAAGTTCCTAAAAGGCCCTTCAGACGGAATCTCACCGTCCAAACCATTGGAAGAGACATTAAAGGACTTCAGCTGCTGGAGTTTTTCCAAGGACTTTGGGATTATGCCCGAGAGGTTGTTATGGGATAGATCGAGAACCACCAGACTTACCATTCCACTCATTGATTCTGAGATATTACCTTGTAAGTCGTTATACGAAAGATTTAAAAAGCTCAAAGTTAGCAGTTTCTCGAGTCCTGATGGAATTATGCCCGAGAAATGATTCGAAGACATGTCGATCTGTGTGACGGCTTTTAGATTTGCCATCTGCGGCACCAAAGGGCCGACCAAAGAGTTTGAGGACAGGTTCAGCTTGAGAAGGTCCCTGAGATTCCACAAACTCGATGGCACGCTGGAGTTCAGTTTGTTGGAATCCAAACGAAGTTCTCCCAGAGCAGTAATGTTCTCTATGCATTCCGGAATCTGCCCGGAAAATTGATTGTTGTATAAATACAGTTGATTCAAACGGCCTAACCTGCATATGGCGTGTGGGATGGGACCACTCATTTTGTTACTAGACAGGTCGAGCCCCTGAAGGCGTTGCAAATTCTCCAAACTTTCTGGAATTAATCCTTCAAATTGGTTCACAGAAGGATCGAGCACCGTTAAGCTGCTCAGGTTTCCGATTATGTCAGGGATTCTGCCTCTGAGGTTACACGTATTGATACCAAAATATTGGAGGGAAGTTGAGAAGTTTCCCACAGAAGCCGGGAGCATGCCGTTGAGAGGATTGCCGTTCACTACCAGTTTCCATAGGCCTCTACAATTTGTCAGTGAGGTTATGAAGCTCAATTCTGAGGATTCACTTGTCAAAAGGTTTTCAGAAATTTCGAGGAGTTGGAGGTTAGGAAGCTGGTAACCCAAATTTGACGGGATGTTGCCGTTTAGTTTGTTTTTCGAGAGAGTGAGTGTTTCTAGTGTCGAGATATTTAGTAGGCTTTCTGGGATTCGGCCAGTAAGGCTATTCCCTGATAAGTAAAGGCCTTTGAGATTGTTGAGATGGCCAACTTCTTTTGGGATTTCACCTGTTAATTGGGTATTTTTTAGTAGACAGACAAGTGCACACACAGTTAATTGGGTATTTTTTCACTGACTCCCCAAGATATAATTAATGATTCTCTTGAATCTTATATCAATCCAAACATGTTGTGCCTGTCAATTTATTAAATTTTATGCGATTTTTTTTTTTTTTTTTTNTTTTTTTTTTTTTTTTTTTACTTCAATGTATCCGTTACTATAGAAAATATGTACAGATAAAACTCAAAATCAAGTAGTTGGCCTTGAAACTTTGAGGCAATTTTTATTACTTCAATGTATCCCTTACTATAGGAAAGTTGATTCATTTCTTTATGGTTTTGAAACAATTTTCTGCTACCTTGATCATTCTAAATCCAACTATATATTTACTTCATTTTTTACTAGGACTATAGTATCTATGATCAAATTAATTGAAACTTGGTCGCAGTTAAGGAAAATTTGGAATCTAACATTATACAAGGGAAGTATTTTTTTCCCTCTCTATATACCTTTTGTTCAACCCAGGGAAGTATTCTGAAGAGTGTTATTCATCTTGAAAGCCTGGTGGCTTGGGAGATGACTAAATTGCTTGCAAAGGGAATTACGTTCATTTTGCATTTTGCGTTATCTTATGGCCACACTTACAGATCTTAGGTATTAATTGGCAATGCTCCGATCCTTTCCCTAGAATTTATATCTTACTATTTTCCATGAATAAAAAAGAACCCAGACAAGTCATACCTGTCAAGTTATTCCCAGAAAAAGTCAACGTCTCCAGTAGAGTTAAATTCCCTAGGTTTGGTGGTATGGTACCGTGCAGTTTGTTGAAAGACAATACGAGAGATCGAAGTGCGGAGCACTCGTTAATTCGTGTTGGTATGGGGCCATATACTTCATTGTGATTCAAGTAAAACTCTTCAAGTTGTCTAAGATGAGAACACATATCTGCTGGGAGAATCCCTGATAGTTTGTTATATGTAACATCCAAAACTTGCAGTGAAGAAACGTTAAAGACTTGTGGCAACGAGCCTGTCAATTCATTCCCCGACATGCCTAGTTTCTTGAGAACAGTCAAGTTACCTAATTCTTCAGGAATTGTTCCTGCAAGTGGGCGAGCAAATCTATTTATTGCTAGTAACAACATTCAAAAATGTATTAGTCAGTTGTTAGTTGTGTTTTTCTTTATATAACAGTGTACCTGTCAAATCGTTAGTGCCAATATATAATTCCTCAAGCATGGTTAGCTTCCCTATCTCTCTCGGTATGAAGCCGCTCAACTTGTTGAAGGATAGATAAATGGAGCGAAGCCGTGAACACTGGGACACGTTTGGCGGTATACGTCCGTTCAACGAATTATTCGTTAGATAAAGCACCTCGAGTTTGGGAAGACCAGCGCACATTTCAGTAGGAAGATTTCCCGATAAAACGTTACCCGTCAGATCAAGACTTTCCATTTCTGGAAAGTTGAAGGACGCAAATGGTATGGAACCATTCAATTGGTTTCCTCGTAAACCCAAGTGTTTCAAGTTACGAAGATTCCCAATCTCTTGTGGTATTTCTCCTTGAAGAGAATTCATGGATACGTCCAAGTCCTCGAGATTCGACGCGTGGGCCAGAGAAGGTGGGATGAGGCCTTCGAAAGTGTTGTGGTCGAGGTACAACACTTGAAGCCTGGTGAACGAGCCGAGCCAATGGGGGATTTGACCCATTAGCGAGTTGGAGCCCAAGTCCACTTTTTTCAAATGGGTTAGCTGAGCGAACTCGGAAGGGATGGCGCCTTGGAATTTGTTTGCGTACAAGTTGAGTGATTCAAGGAAGGTGAGGTTTCCCAAATGGGGGACTAATGGGCCTGTTAGGCCCATCTTGGAGATGTTGAGGCTCACAACTCGCTGGGGTTGAGAGCTGCATGTGATTCCGGCCCAGCTGCAGACGGAGGCAGAGTCAGACCAGTTTTTGAAGAGAATATGAGAAGGGTTCAGTTGAAGTAGCTGGGATTTTAATGCGACGAGGGCGGATTTGTCGGTTTCGATGTTTGTTATGGTCGTGGCCGAGCTGCGGATTTGGGAGTGTAGGAGCAGGAGCTCGATTGCTAATAGGAAGAGCAAGTTTTTTTCCATGGCTTTTCTTT